GTATTTCCAGAAGGGAGAAGACATAAGTCAGGGAACAACTCCCGGCTTGTTACGTGGGTATTTCCAGAAGGGAGAAGACATAAGTCAGGGAACAACTCCCGGCTTGTTACGTGGGTATTTCATGTAGGGAGAAGACATAAGCCAGGGAACAACTCCCGGCTTGTTACGTGGGTATTTCGAGAAGGGAGAAGACATAAGCCAGGGAACAACTTCAGGGATTGCTACGTGGGTATCACGAGAAGGAAGAAGCCACGAGTCGTCGAAGCTCACCACCTCCAGCTGTGTTGCATGCCAATACCCGCGCACGCACAAAGTATCCGCGTGTAACTATACGCGCACAGCTATACGCATGTAAATGCTAACGGACAATGTTGTCGCGTGTATGGTGGTGTGCACATATCGTGTTCTTGCAACACTCTGCACGCAAAATGTAAACGTACGACTCGTATGTAAGGTGGGCTTAACCGATTCTCATAGAGAAAACGAATTTTAGACACAAAAAAGTGCATTTAGCCCTGACAGCTTCCGAATGTTCTCAAAATCTCGGGTAGTTATATACCCACGTGACCGAGCATGCCTAGTGAAATTTGAGTCGCTCTCATCAGCTTTAAGTCGCCTGACTTCAAGAACCGAATCAAAGCATTGTAGGTGCATTTGCTGCTGCCACCGGAGACATTTTTTTATTAAGGGCCGCAAACAATATCTGTATATAGTACATATTACGTATAATCAGTGATTTTTTGCTCAGTGTTTCACTGAGCAAAAAATCACTGATTATATGTAATATGTCAGGGGGATAGAAAGAAAATGCGAAATTTGAGCAGTATTAAACAGATTATCTGACATTAAGACATAGCTTTCCAACGTGGGGATAAATTATCGCAAATAAACCTCCACATCAGGCCTGGTGAGAGATGCTCTTGTGTTCCTCTCTGCGCTATAGCCACCATCGCCGAAGGATAAACTGAATTAAATTCGCATTAAAAAACGGAAGGGTAAAAAAACGAGCCGATTTAGCGATAGACTGACACCGCACGTCGACGTTGGCATCCGCTTGCGACCACGCAACATTTGCGGGCGCATCCACAGGGACGTTTGGAGTCAGTCTAGGTGGTGGCAGTCGGGAGCCATCGACGCTCGCTCGCTGCGTGCACGAGGGAGATAGCTATCATGCAATCTGCCCTCGATCGTGCCCGCGCGAGTCGCGTTTGCGTTTACTCGATTAATTATGCAGGCGTATTTTCGCAGGGCAAAAACACGACCGGAGCAGTGATCACTGAGAGAGAAGCCAGCCACGCAGCCGCTGCAATAGCAAATAGCAGTAGCAGCAGCGGCGGCACTAGCGGCAACAGTGTCAGCAGTGTCAGGCAGTAGCAGTAGCAGCAACAGTAGCAACATTGGCCGCAGTAGCAGTAGCAGTAGCAGCAGCAGCAGCAGCAGTAGTAGTCGTAGTAGTAGCAGCAGCAGCAGCAGTAGTAGTAGTAGTAGTAGTAGTAGTAGTAGCAGCAGCAGCAGCAGCAGCAGTAGTAGTAGTAGCAGTAGTAGCTGTAGTAGTAGTTGTAGTAGCAGCAGTAGTAGCAGCAGCAGCAGCAGCAGCAGCAGAAGTAGCAGCAGCAGTAGCAGCAGCAGCAGCAGTAGCAGCAACAGCAGTAGCAGGAGTAGTAGTAATAGTAGTAGCAGTAGTAGTAATAGTAGCAGCAGCAGCAGTAGCAACAGCAGCAGTAGTAGTCATAGTAACAGCAGCAGCAGCAGCAGCAGCAGCAGGAGGAGTCAGTAGGACCGTGACTACAGGCAGCTGCTGAGGAACCACCGGAAGCAGCAAAGGCGAAGGGCGACGGGGAATGGAATGGGGAGATGGGTGAAGGGGAGGGAAATTGGTAGAAATGCGTGAATTGCAGGAGAAGAGAAATAGTGGGCGAGAGAAACAGAGAAATAAAAGCAAAAAGGGATGAAGGAAAGAAGAGAGGTAGGAAGGGTGACGAATATAGCAGCAGGGAGACAAGAACGAGGGAGGGGGATGAAAAAATAGAAAAGACGGGGAGGAAAGGGAGGGGAATAGCCTAGAATACATTGAAAGAAAGGAGGGTGCGCGTGTACACGCGTGCATGTGTTAATGCTTGTGCGCGTGTACACACGTGTATCATGTATGTGTTAATGCTTGCGCGCGTGTACACGCGTGCATGTGTTAATGCTTGTGCGCGTGTACACGCGTGTATCGTGCATGTGTTTTAATGCTTGCGCGCGTGCAATCACGTGTAGGCCCTACGCATGTTCTATTGAATCTACTCCGTCTATATTAACTGCTGCGATAAAGCACATTAGCCACCGTTTTAATGGACCAGCGAAATCAGATTGTAATATTACACATCGCAAAGTTCCATGCTTGCGAGGTCATTTGCATAATTTGCCTATTGACTACGTACCACGGTCATTTGATATTTCATATTTTATTGACGTTAATACCTCGAAGAGTGATGCTATCTTACATTCACATGCCCCACGTGGATCAAAATTTATATGAACATGATTTTGTCCGCGCATGCCTCGTATTCATATATTATAGTAGTGCAACATTAAATTTACATATATCGCAACAGCGCCTACATATTTTATTGACGCGACATTCCATTTACATAGACCCAAATAAAGTTTCAATTACATTTGCATGTTTATATTACTTTATATTGATGTCGCATCGGTGCAAAGTGCCTCTATCACGCTTGTCTGCTAGTAACATCAAAAGCCAGTGTATATATATATATATATACATAAACATATAATATACCCGATACGCAGCATAATCCAGCAACGTGATCAGGAATATTAGAATCTTCCGTTTCGAAGCGGGAACAGGGGCTGCATGAATCGAATTCCATGCAGTCGTCTGACATTTAACAGCCTATGTGGTGCTAGGCAGGTGCGATGGGCATGCATGCGAGCGGCATTACACTCGCTACCTCGGGTACATATCTGTAGTACCTGATACGACAACGACCCCTTCAGCCGCACTAGATCCTCTAACGCGAAATGAGATCCACAACTCGATCGATTTTCGAAATAACTCGACAGAAACGATGAATGTGACAGGGAAGGTCACGTTAAACGTGTCTATTATAGTGCCGGTAAACCGTCTAGGCGTTATATTTGCGTAGGAGGTAATCTAAATTCTAAACTTCACTACTGTAGCATGTAAATATTGCCCTATAGTCAATTCTTTAGTAAACTATCTTACGACGTTTGGTGTTTACACGATCAATGCTTTGCAGTAATGAGTAATGTTAGATCTGCATTCGAATATACGTATTGTATTCTATATACGTGAGTTAAAGATTATTCATTATTTAATTCATTTATTCATTATTTAATCTGTTTAATGGGGAGAGGTGATGAATTTAATGGGGCATACAATGCTTAGATAGCTAGTTTCAGTCACTTTTGTTTTCTAAATTCAGCTTTAATGAGGTTTTTAAGGCGAGATGTTCAAACCAAGGCAAGTGTTGGTAACTAACAGTTTGTAGTATATAGTATAGCTATGGCTGTAGGCGTAAATATGAGAAATCTGATGAAAGCAGAGTCGGTTCAGTTCTCGAAGGTACCAGGTATAGGTCTGCTAGCTGGCCAATCTTTTTGCCGCGGTTTAGGTTATGGGGGTCATGGTGGGGTCACACTGGGGTCACAGTTGGGGGGGGCGATGAGACCCTATACACCGCCAGCAACCAGAAGGAAACATTAATATCATATGGGAAACGGTTGTTTTAGGGACGCAGTATTGAACAATTTTAATTGCCTGGGAACCGGAAAATACCAGATAACCTTTCTGCGATTCGGGAAAAGAAGTCAACCCGGACGTGGGAAAGCCGAAATTGCGATTTTAATTAAGCGGGGAAAGCCGAAAATGACACATTTTAACCAAGGAAACTGGTTGCCGCTCATTATAATTATAAAAGCGAGAATATTTTCTACATAGCATGACTACCAAGCTCCACCGCCGACCTTGTTAAATTTTACACATTTTGTTACCTAGGAAACTGAGGTAAAAAGGAGTAGAAGGAGAAAAAAGGAGAACGAGTGAAAGGAGTAGAGCCCCCCACCCTGTTGCCTCTCGTTACAATTATAAATGTGACAATATTTTGTGTGCAAGCCTCATTGCAGACCTTACGAATTTGCAGCCAGTCATAGTATAGAGTTTGTCATACTGTAAGATTGACTACCAATCCGTCAGCAATTGACACGGGTAGATTCGTGCGCGCGCGAATAAAATGACGCGCGGGAATGGCGCGCACGATCAATTAGGAAAACAATCAACGCCAAGCGACGGCGCCTCTCGTAACCACGGCAACTTACTCTCCTCATCCGTGTGCAGCTTCCTCCTGAGCTCCTCCATCTTCCTCTCACCGCGGGGAAGTGTCTTCTCCTTTTCCTGATGACCGAGAGAGAGAGAGAGACAGAGAGAGTTAGCGTGAGATTGCAAGAGCGGAAGCAAGTTGTGTAGGAATATAAGAGCTGGCCATATAGCTACGCCAGACAAGAGACGTGGAAGGATTTCGAGGGTTTTCGAGTAATTTCATTCTCGTTTCATCATCGCTCGTTTTCAATAGGAAACAGAGCGTTCTAATCAGACTTGTTGTTGTCATCCCTACTTTATCTCGTCACGAGAACAGTAATTAGGCTAATTAGAATAACAGATAGACTCAGATTTCTGATACCATAGGACTAAATAATTATATTACAGTATAATTACAGAACGTATTCATCGGAACTGCATTAATGTACTGTGTCTGTGTGTATATATATATATATATATATATATATA